GGGAGGAGGACAGGTAAGGGAGGGTACCTAATTGACTACAATGGAGAATTATGGTTGCCTTGGTAGTGGGTATGGTGTAGTAACATACATCTGCAGAGATGTGAATCTGTTCCCCAAGTCATATATATTTTTAAAGATTTATTTATTTATGCATACAAGAGCTGGGGTACAGGCCAGAGATGCGGGGGGTGAGATCATTCAGAGACAGAGCAAGGAACAGTACAGGCAGACTGACTGAAATACACTGCTGAGGGGGGCAGCGGGTGAGACAGGAGAGGTCTGCTTCGCCATGTGGGTACTCTGCTTTTTATCATAATTTGGCATTTTCTAGAATCTGGTATGAACAAGCTCATATGGTATGTATAGATATACCATGACTTCATTTACCATAATACTTTCGAGATTCATGTTGTTGGGTATATAAGAACTGGTTCCTTTCATTGCTGACTAGTATTTCATTGTATTGATATATTGTAATGTATTTATTTACCAGTTGATGGGCATTTGGGTTCCTCCGGTTTTGGGCTGTCCTTATTAAAGCTGATACGAACATTTGATACAAGTTTTTATGTGACTATATGCTTTCATTTTTCTTGGGTAAATACTTCAGTATAGAATTGCTGGATCAGTGTTAAGTGCATGCTATAACTTTAAAGCAAACTACTGTGCTCTTTATTTTCATTTTCACTAGCAATGTATGAGGGTTGCAGTTATTCCACATTCTTGCCAGTACTTAGTATTGTTAGTCCTTTCAAGTTTAGCGATTTTTAGTGACTATGTACTGCTATCTTATTAGGCATGTGGTTTTAATTTACATTTTCCTTATGATTGATGATGTTATGCATCTTTTTAACGTGTTATTTACAATTTGTATTTAAAATTGTTTGCCCATTAAACACTTGGGTTGTTTGTCTTCCTGAGTTATATGGATTTAAAATATATTTTGGATATAAGTCCCTTACCTTTATGTATAATTGTTCAAATTTTATGGTCCTCAGTTGTTCTGGAGAGGGCCCTTCATCTATTCAGTGATCCAAAAGAGTGTCAATTTAGTCCCTTCTCTCCCCTACTCTGTCTCTCTCTTCCTTCCCTCCTGTCCCCCATTTAAAAAGTAAAATCTTTTGGGACTTTGCCCCCATTACATTTATATTTAATATAAGATTCTATGTTTGCCTTTTCCCCATATTTTCTCATTGGAGATCATATGTGATATGATGTTGACATAACAGGGCACTCTCTTTCTGTCTCTCTCTCTCTCTCTCTGTGTATATATATGTATGTATGTGTGTGTGTCACACACATGCATACCATGTAAAACTTTATTAACAGTATTAGAAAAAGAAGACTATTTTTCTTGTAGATTTTAAATATTTGGCTAAACTCTGTCCAGAGGTCTTTTGTTCTGTTTTCTTTGTTGATATATTTTATTTTCTTTGCGATGTATTTTTTGATATATAATTCATATACCATAAAATTCACCATTTGTAGTATACAAGTCAATGGTTTCTAGTATATTTATGAAGTTTTACAGTTGCTATCACCATTAATTTTAATTCATCACCTCCAAAATAAATGCATGATCCATTAACTGTTATTCCTCATTGTCCTTTATCACATTCCCTGATTATCCAATATGGGATCTTTTGGAATTGACTTCTTTTACTTAGCTTAATGTTTTTAAGGCCCATTCTTATTGTGTCATGTATCAGTACTTCATTACTTTTTATTCCTCATTGATATTCCATTGTATAAATATAGCATGATTAATTTATCCATTTGTCAGTTGTTAAACTTTTGAATTATCTTCACTTTTTGGCTATTCTAACGCTGCTGTGAATATTGATGTACAAATTTTGTGTTAATATTTCATTTGTCTTGGGTATATACTTAAAAGAGAAATTGTTGGGGTAAATGGTAATTGTATGCTTAACTTTTTGAGGCATTTCTAGATATTTCTGAAAGTAATTGTACTTTTAAAATTTCCACTGGCATTGTATGAGGGTTTTAACTTCTTCGTGTTTTGTATACACGTTATTGTTTGTCTTATAGATATCCTTGTGAATGTGAAATAATATTTCATTGTGGCTTTGATTTGCTTTTTTTTTTGATGACTTACTTTTTTTTTTGATGACTTACATTTCTTTGGAGAAATGTTTATATCCTTTGCCCGTTTAAAAATTGTATTGTCTTTATTTTAGCATTGTAGGAATTTTCTTATATATCCTGCTTTAAAATTTCATATGTGATAATATGAATTTTCCTTATTCTGTGGGTTTTTCCTACATTATGTTATAGTGTGATTTGAAACACAAACATTTGTAATTTTGATGAGGTTCAGTTTACTTAATTTTCCTTTTTGGTGCTTATAGTTTTGGTGTTATATTTAAGAAACCATTATCTAATCCAAGGTAATAAACATGTGCTCCTATGGATTTTATGCTTTTAGCTCTAAGATTTAGGTCTTTGATCCACTTAGAGATAATTTTGTTTATTGTATAAAATGGGGTCAAATTTCTTTTACTTGCATATGAATATCTAGTTGTCCCAGCACCATTTATTGAAAAGACTAATCTTTATTGAATTATTTTGGGAACTTCATTGAATTGACTATAAATGTAAGACTTATTTCAGGACTCTCAATTCTATTGTGTTTTCTATGTCTGACCTTAGCTATATGTCTGTTTCAACCTGTCTTGATTACTATGGTTTTGTAGTAAGTTATAAAACCTAGAAGTATTAGTCACCTAATTTTTTTTTTCTAGATTGTTTCAGCTAGCCTGGGTTTCTTGTATTTTATGTGATTTTAGGTTTAGTTAGTCAATTGATGCCCCCAAAAAGGGCAGATAGCAGTTTTGTTGTATAATATTAAGTCATTTATTTGGGGGTTTTCTTCTTAATGTGGGTCAGTATTGATAGATAAGAATTTATTTCTGGGCTTTTGATTCTGTTACATTGATTCATGTATCAGTTTTTATGCCAATACTGTATTATTTTAATTACTGTTGCTTTAGAGGATAGTTGAAAGCCAGGTAACATGATGCCTCCATCTCCTTTTTTCTCAGGATTGTTTTGCTATTCAGGGTCTTTTATGGTATTATTTTCTTTGGAACTTGTTGGGCCTCTGGATCAGGATGTCTGGTTCATTTCCCAGACTGAGATGGTTCTCACCAGTTATTTCCTTAAATAAATTTTCTATTCCTTTCTCTTTCTCCTCTCCTTCTAAGAAACCCCATGCAATGGATATTATATCGTTTTGATTATCCTGGATGTTTTACATTGTTTTATTTTTAAAATTCTCTTTTTCTGTGTTTTTTACTACTGTGCTTGCAAGCTTGCTGATTCTTTTTATTACTTCCGTGTGTCTACTTGAGGACCTCAATTGTATTTTTTAATTTGGTCATGATATTTTTCAGATCCACTTGTTCTAGTTGTAATAGTATCGTATTTTCTTGATTTTTCATTGTGTTCCCATTTTTGATCACATTGTTTTACTCAAATTGGTAATCATGGTTATAACTTACTTTAAATCCCTCATCAGGCATATTCCACAGTTTTGCTGTATTAAAAAAGACTTATGTTGCTTTGGTTTTAACTATTATAGGTTGTAATAATACTTTTTTTTTAAAAAGAGTTATTTATTTATACATCCAAGTATTGGGGTACCGGCCAGGATTGTGGGGTGTGAGAGGTTCACCAGAGACAGAATGGGGAACAGAACAGGTGGATTGATTGAAATACACTGCTGAGAGGAGCAGCAGGCGAGGCAGGAGAGGTCTGCTGCACCATGTGGTAGATCCCTGGCCGGGATCGAACTCATGTGGCAGTGGTTACAGCTAGATGTTTTTAGTTGTTTAGCTAGATGTTTTTAGTTGTTTGTTGTTTCATAGATTATGCCTTTGCATGTATTCAGATGGACATGGCACATTAGTGCTATTATGGGGTAATAGGTAGAAAGGAACTGGGTAGTAGGTGAAAGGTCATCTCCAGTGAGCATCATGGATTCAAGTTTCCTACATTGCTGTGAGTGTGAATTGTGTGGTGGTGATTCACTGTGATCACCTCCTAGACCAACTCGTTGGCCAAAATATCTAATATAGTCTCCCATCAGCCTCAACCTCTAGACTGGGGGTCTAGAAAAGATGTAGTGCTAGGTGTGAACTATTGTTAAGCTAGGACTGCTAGCCAGGAATGATTCTTTTTGCTTTTTGAGTACAAAACCTTACTGTGTGGCAGCTGTTCTACCCACTTCATTCTTTGGTAAGCCAGAATATCCAGTCGTCTTGGTCTTGGCCCCCTTCTGTCATTGCTTCTGAAGTTGCGCTAATCATTGATTTATCTTTTAGGGGGCTGTTGTTTTTGTTTACTTGTTATGTTGTGAACGTGTGGAGGAAGTGAGTTGGTGTTTTCACTGTCTTGCAGGACTCTCTACTTAATCCTTTTAAATAAAGATGCTTTTTATTTCTTTTTCTTGCCTAATTTTCCTGTTCAAAGAGTCCAATATGTTGAATAGAAGTGGCAAGACTTAACCTCTCTGTATTTTTTTTTAATTAATTATGGTGTTAACTCTGGAGTTTTTATGAATACGCTTTATCGTATTAAGGAAGTTCCTTTCTATTTTTAGTTCTTTTTGTGTTTTTCTCATGAAATGGTGTTGGATTTCGTCAAATGCTCTGTGTCTTATTAGCATGGTATATTACATGGAGTTTTAAGTATTAAGCCAAACTTGCTTTTCTGGGATTCCCCTTGTTGATTGTGTATAATCCTTTCATATTTTGCTGCACTTAGTTGGCTACTATTGAGGATTTTATGTCAGTATTCCCAGACCAATATGTTGGTCTGTATTTTCTTCTGCCTGGTGTCTTTATCTTGTTTTGGATCAAGGTAGCTCTGATAACATACAATGAATTGGGAAGTGTACTTTCAAATTCTAGGTTTTGAAGGATTAATATTAGTTCTTCTTTATGACTAATGGAATTTTAATTTTTGTTTTTATCTTTTAGGATTCTCCTTTTACAAATGCGGGAATGGGATCTAATCTAAATCTCTTGGGTGAAATTGAGTGTGATGCTAGCATAATGGATGGAAAATCCTTAAATTTTGGAGCTGTTGGAGCACTAAGTGGTATGTGGGCTTTATAACATACTATCTCCATTCCTTCAAAAACTATGACTTTTACTATCCCATGTCTCCTGAAGACTTAGTTTAATCTTTTTACCATTTTTGCCTGAAATAGTCCTTGAAATGCTTGAATTAAAAAACACATTTATTTTCCTTTCACTGAATTTTAAATGAACACATTTATTTTTCTTCCACTGAATTTTAAAGAAAGCAGTGAAGCAGCCTATGTCCATGACTTTGGTTAGAGTTTAATCACCTTCCTCCATACTCTCAAGAGATTTTAAATGTGTGCTAGCATAGCTATTGATTATATATATACATATATATATTTGAAATACATGAAGAGCATATTTTTATTGTTAACAATTCAAATGATATAAATAAAATCAACCTTTTATTTTCCAAACCTTTCTTTCCCTTCTCTCTTTTAGGGGTAGAGGGTTAACCAGTAAAGTACAATATATTTATATTTTTATGTACTGGAAACATGGTTTTGCACATGTTCAAAAAAAGAAATATTGATATTATAAAACTTATTTGTTTAAGTAGATGTCTTAGAGGTATTTTCCACATCAATACATATAAAATATAACTAATGTTTTGCAACTTATTTATTAAAGGAAGTATATGTCAAGTGCAGATTTTAAGTATAAAACTTTATGAATTTTTAGATGTATAGAGCAATGTAAACCACCAGCCAAATTAAGACATTAAACATTTCCATATCAAGACGTAGAACATGTCCATGGTCCCAGAAAAGTTCTTTATGCCTTTTCATAGTTTACGCCTCTTATACTTCCCCAGCCCTTTCAATTTTGACTTTAAGCACCATAGATTAATTTACCTATATCTGACATTTGTATGAATGGAATAATACAACTTCTGTGTCTGGTTTTATTTGTTTAACATTCTGCCTGTGAGATTTATCCATGTTTCATGTCACAGTATTTTTTTCTTTTTTAATGCTTAGCATTTTATTGCAAGAATATAGCTTATCTACTGTCCTCTCAGTGGATGTTTGAATAGTATCTATTTTTTGATGTGGTAGAACTCCAGTGAATATTTTTTTACATGGTTTTGGGTAGACAGATATTCTTATGTCTCTTGGGTATATAGCTTGGATTTGTAACATCAAGTTTATTACATATATGGTTATTAGATACTGTCAGAATTTTCATAAGTAGTTACTATAACCTAAACTCCAGTTTTAGTTCCTCTACATCCTTGCCAAAGTTTGGCATTATTATTCTTTTTAAAATTCAAACATTTTGATTTGTGTGTAGTATTACTATTCTAATTTTTTTTTTTTGCTGACTATACTTAGAAATTTTTCATGCAGTTAGTGACCCTTTATGTTTAATTCTTTTTTGTGTTTTAAGAAATCTTTGCTTACCCAAAATTATGAAGACAGTCTCTATTGTTTTCTTTTAGTAGCTCTGTTGTTTATATATATTTTACATTTAACTTTGGTATCAAGCTCTGATTAATTTTAGTGTATGAGAGATAGAAGTCGACATTAAATTTTTTTATTTTATAGATACCCAAATGGTTTATTGCCATTGTCAATAGAAAGGACGGATACATTTTTATAAATGTTATTCATTTTTTTCTCAGCAGTGTTTTATGGTTTTGAGTATAGATGCTTATATATTTTTTATTGGTTATATTCTAGATATTTAGTTTTCTGATAGTATTGTAAAGCATAGATATGTGAAATATCAATACCCAATTTTTAATTACATTTTTATAGTATGCAGAAATACAGTTTGTATATTCAGCTTGTAACTAGTGATCCTGGTAAATTCACTTATTAATTGTAGCTTTTAACAAAAATCAGTTACCTTAGAAGTTTCATATATAACTTATGTTACCTGTGAATCATAGCAACTTTCTTCCTTCCTTAATACTTAAATATTTCATTTTTTTCTTGGATTATTTTACTGGCTATGACATCCAGTTCAGTGTTAAATCTCAGTGGTGATTCTTTGTTTTCTCCCTGATCTTAGAGGGAGGGCATTAAATATTTTAGTATCATGTATACTGCCAGCTCTGATGAATGATCTTATCAGATTGAGGGAGTTCCCTTTTAATCTTAGTTTTGCTGAGAGTGTTTATTATAAATGGGTATCGACTATCAAATGCTTTTTTGCATTTATTGAGATAAGTTGTTTTCATTTATTAAATCTAAAATGATTGATTTTTGACTTTTAAGCCAACCTTCTATTCCTGGCATAAAATTTTATTGATTGTAATTTTTCGATCTCTTTATATTCTACTGGATCTGATTTGCTGATGTTTAATATTTTTGACAAGTCTGTTCATGTAATAAATTTTACTTGCTTTTAACATTTTTTTCAGGTTTGGGAATCCTGTTATGACTAGATTCATAAAATGAATTGGGGACTTTTTCTCTATTCATTGACAGAATTTGTGTAAAATTGAAAAGATCTCTCTTTAATTATTTGAAAAAAATTCATTCATAATTTCAAATTAGTGGAGTTTACTTTGTGAGAAGTTTAAAAAATTGAGTTCAATTTTCTTTCTTTTTAAAAAAGATTTATTTATTTATGCATACAATAACTGGGATACAGGCCAGAGGTATGGGGGGTGAGAGGATTCACCAGAGACAGAGTGGGGAACAGAACAGCAGACTGACTGAAATACACTGCTGAGGGGATTAGTGGGTGAGGTAGGAGAGGTCTGCTGCTCAATGTGGGTATCTCCCTGGCTGGGTATTGAACTCATGCTGCAGTGGCTGGGGATAGCTTCATAGGTTGCATCTTAACCCCTTGTGCCACCAGGGCTCGGAGTTCAATTTTCTTAATAATTATATAAGTACCTAAATTTTTTTTTGCTTATATGTGTTTTTCAGGAACCTATTTATATGCATTGTCAAATTTATTTTCCTAAAGACTATAAAATTAACTTTCTTTATTGACTTCTACCTTAATTCTACTGTGGTCAGAGAACATATTTTATATGATTCCAGTGCCTTGAACCTTTTTGAGACTTGTTTTATTGCACAGTTTATGATGTGTTTTAATAAATATTTTACATGAACTTCATGAGAGTATATATTTTACAGTTGTTGGTGTATGTACTGTTATGTCAATTAGGTTATTCATATCTTCCAGTCTTATGTCCTTTCTGATATTTGTGATAGGTAAGCTGGGGTATTTTATATTTCAACTAGTTTTAATTTTAATGACCTTTGTGATGAAATTTTATTGGTATTTAGTGACATTTCATATTTTAAAAGGTTATTAGTCTTGGGCCTCCCTGGTGACGCAGTGGTTGAGCGCTGGGTTGCGAAGCTGCCCGCAGCCTCTGCAGCGCCGGTTCGATCCCTGGCCACCGGGCGAGGGTCCCACATGGCGTGCAGACCTCTCCTGCTGCCCACTGCTCCTCTCAGCAGTGTACTTCGTCATTTTGCCTGCTCTGCTCTCCCCTCTGGCTCTGGTGAATTCTCTCACTCTCCCGCGTTTCTGACTGTACCCAGTGCTTGTATAAATAAATAAATCTTAAAAAATAAGAAAGGCTATTAGTCTTTATCTGTGAATTTACTGAAAATTTTATTTGTCAAACTTTTTCCTTTCTCTTTTTTGTATTTTCCATTTCTTATGGTTTCTATCTCATAAGCAGTTGCTTGTATTATCTTCTAATACATGTTTAATATTTTCTCATTTACCTCTGGAATAGATTGTTGTTTTTTTTCTGAAAACAGGAATTAACCTTTTTGTTGTGCAAGAAAAAGATTGGGCTTTTAGTTCACTAGAGAGCCCCCCTATAGGAGCCACTTGCTATATGTGCCTTTGGGGCTGAGGAGAGGTATAGGATCTTGGGACATCAGTGATTTGGGCTTGGCCTGTCCTGTTCTTTTAAAATTGTCAGTTGTGCTGCTGTGACCTGAATCTGAAGCTGGAGAAAACTGGTGGTGAAATGCTGGAGAAAACTGCATCCTGCAGCTACTTAGCACTGGAGAATACAGTGTGGGACAAATAGTGGAGAAAAACTTGGTACATTCCAGGAGCCTGGCTAGCAAGCCCCCCTTTTCCATCTATAATGTATATCCAGTGCCCTCTACTGATGAAATTTACCACTGTGCCAGCTGACAAAGGAAACATCGTTAAAGGGCCCGTATCCATTTTCTCAGATCAGACAAGGAAGGGTGAATTTGTATCTTAGAAGTAATAAGTTGATAACTGGTAGTTATAAATCAATTTGACTCTTATTACTAGGTATTCTTTTTATCTCTCTTGTAGTTTGTTCATTCTCCTACTCACTTGAAATACTTTCTATATTTGGTATTAAAATGTCCAAATGTGTATGTATCGATCTTTGAACTTTAGCTTTATTCTACTCTGACATATTTGCCTATTTTGTACCTAAACCATAGTCTTAAATAGACTAGCTTTTAATAAGAAATGTAACTTGTGGGGTGACTATCTTTCAATTTAATTTTCATGTTTTCTCTTTCCAGTGAATTTAAAGTCAGCTATACATAATAGAAATGCTTTTGAGTTTTGATAGAAAGTTTATAGATTTGAATTTATAATTAATTTGGCAATTATTACTGTCTTTTCAATATTGAATCCTCACATACAGAAATATGTTTTAAGAACTAGAATAGACAGAGTAATTTTTCCTTCCTTTGGTGTTTCATATGCTTTGTGTATGTGGCAGAATTTTTTAGTATTTAACTACATTTCTAGTTTTGGTTTAAGTCAATCTGCTGACCTTAGCTTGACTTTTTTAGTCTCTTTATATTCTGTTGCTGATTTTGTGTGTGCGTGTGTGTGTGCGTGCGTGCGTGCATGTGTGTGTGTATGTGTATAGTATCCTCAGAAGGTTCCAGAGATTAGTGGTTAGGGCATGATCTCTGGCATTTGCTGCCTCTGAAAATTCTCAGAATTGTGAGGGCTAAAGTAACTTATCTCTCTGCAGAGGTTCCTTCAATAATCAGATAGAGTTCATAAATGTACCTATATGATAAAGGATCAAATATTTTTATACATTTAAGCATTGGTGCTGAGCCTGGCACATATTAGATACTAAGCACTGTCTCTGTCTTCTGTGTCATCATTGTCATATCTGTCATTGACATCATCACTGTCATTGTCATCCTGACAGGTTTTTCCCATCTATCCTTACAGTTCTGTCTTTCCTCCCAGATAAACACCCTCTTCTCACTTTGTATCTATTGTTTTCGCCCCTGGAAACAATCTGAAGCACACTTTAGGTTACAATCTTAAACATCCATGGCCTCTTTTCTCCACCCTTACCCCTATTTGTAGGACTTTATTATTATTCTTTCTCTCTTGCAGGTGAGTTTTAAACTTTTTGGCCATTAATTTTTCTCCTCAAGGTAAATTTGAAGCTATTTACAATCATGTTTTTTCTTTAGAGAAAATTCATCGTTTTGGTTCAATAAATGCCTGAAACATTATTTTGTTTTGATAGTAGGAGATACCGCATTTTTAATTTGTTGTACTGAAAAATGCTTCATTTTATTCTATATTGAAAACTATTAAAAAGGGACCCAAATTAAATGTCCTTTTTGAAATTCAGTCTTTGCTGCTGTCATACATAACAAATATGAGAATGTTCATTTTATATTTGTTCTTTTTTAACATGTACTAGTTTTTTATATATTTGCAATTTGACCCTAATTGTTCATGATACTTAAGGCTTTTCATTAACATATAAAAGAGTTTTTCATGAAATTTAAAGTTGTTTTCTTGAAACAGCTGCAAGATTGAATTGAAAGTTTAAACATATTATTCTGGCTTCATTTTCTGCCAATTTTATTTTATAGGCATCAAGAATCCAGTCTCAGTTGCGAACAGACTCTTGTGTGAAGGGCAAAAGGGCAAGCTCTCTGCTGGCCGCATTCCTCCCTGGTAACTACTTTGTTCTGTTGAGTCTTTAAGAGGGTTTTTGGTCTGTAGTGGATGCCGTGTTTGAAGACTGTTTTTTACACGCAGGTCTTGGTGTATGCTTTCCAGAGGAAAACACACTTGGTTCTGTGCTTTTGGCCGGGGATTGAACCAGTGCTGCAGAGGTTGCGGGCAGCTTCTCAGCCCAGTGCTCAACCGCTGCACCACTGGGGAGGCCCAAGTAGTTTTGTAGATATCCTCATACTTGCAAAACATAACTGCCATCTTGTTAGCATGTCTAATAATATTAACAAATATGCCTCAGTACCATCTCATACTTAGTATGTGCTCAGTGTATCTGCCTGTGAGGTTACAATAATGATCAGTGTTGAAAGTTGAGGTGGTAGTGTTATAGGAATCATACCATTTGACTATTATACTTCGAAGTTATAGAAAATAAGCTAATTTAGGGTTGGAAAAATCTTGAAACCTTTTACCCAAATGTATTCAAGATTCCCTTCTAATTATATACTTCTCAGTATTTAATTGTGTATGAGAAAGGTCAATTTCAAAAAGTTTTCAGATTTTAATTTTTATATTTAATAAAACAAGGGTCAGAACAGAAAACCTGATTTCTTGAGATAATTTCTAGTATGTATTTGGTTGATATAAGTAAGTTTGCCTGATAATTCTGAAAGTAGGAAGAGTGATTAAAAAATTCTTAAGTATTCTTTTCTCAAAATTTCTGTTAAACCTATCCTATTTTATTTAAGTGGTATGAAGTCTACAACCCCAAATTTATTGTTTGTTTAGTAGGTTCACAGAGTCCTCCTCTCTGTACCTTTTTAGGGGAGAATTAGTTGCAAAGAGATTATCTCTGAAATCTATATTCTTTTCAATGATTTTAATGTAACTGTTTCACTTCACCCATTATACACAGTACATAATTAATCTTAGATAAACCAATTTAGAAGACAGATGCTTAGGAGGGAAGAAATGATGCGCTTGTTTTGCAGTTGGAAAGAAAAGCAACATAAATCCTGGAGAAGTATTCAAAAGCTCATCTCCAACACCAACATAATTCTAATTTCCCCCAACTCCTCATGGCATTTACCAATCGTATCCCCAAACTTATATGGAGGGAGAAAAGTACAATAATAACCAAACCAATTTTGAAGCAGATCAAAGAGCTGAGCTTATCTAATAGCTATCACTTAGTAATACTATATTAACTAAGACAGGTTGAGGTAGATCAGTAGGACAGAACTGAAAGTTCAAGAATAGATCCAGTATATAAGGGAATTTAGTTTATTATAATGTTGTCATTTCAAAGCATTATGCGAAGGAATGATGGTGTATTAATTAAATTGTTTTGGGACAATTGACTACATAGTGGGAAAACAGTAAATTCTTATGTCACAGCATTAAACAAATTCAGTTCAAACATAAAAGTAAAACATAACATAAAAATATTAAAAGTTGTTTAATCACTCATCTGAAGGTAATAACTGATTTAAGTTGATGAGAGGTTAATTAGTCTTTATTAAGGGTCAGTTATTATATTCAGCTCTTTTCAATTATTTTCTTATTCCTTACATAGCTGAGTAGGGTAGGTATTATTTACCCCCATTTTACACATTAAAAATATTTAGGAAAAATATGAGAGATTACAATGACCAATTATCATAAAAACAAGGCTAAATATTAAAACTTATAACAAGTGAAGACGTACAGTTATTACACAATGAAGATACTATGTTTAGAATTAATGGACAATATGTCTTTTGGAACTGAGAAAAATTGTAATATAGATAGCAAAGAAAGTATTTAAGAACTATAAAATACCAATAAGAAACAGACAAAGTAAATATTAAAAATTGGCATAGGGTGCAAATAGAGAATCTATGGAAAAGAAAATATGGATGGCATATAACTTAGAAGGTGTCCATTTAATAAGAAATTTTGAATTAAAATATTTTTACCTTTTTAAAGCAGCAAAATTAACAAAGACCATTACTACCTAGTTTTATTGAAAAAGAAATTCTACCACAAATGGTGAGAACATAAATTGATATACTAGTTGAAGGACAGTTTCATATTATTTATTAATGTAAAAAATTGGATATGTATATACTGTATGTTCTAGCAAGTTTATCTTAAGAATGGACACCTGTCATGTGCACAGGAAGGCTTGTAACAGCATAAGCGTATTACAACATTACTTGTGGCTTATAAAACTAAGCAACCTACATATTCATCAGTGATTAAGTCAGTTGTTCACTGGCAATATTTTTAAATACTCTATCACTTTAAAGAGAGAAATAGTTATACATAGTAAGATAAATCACATTATAAACAGAATCAAGTTGCAGAAAGGTATGTGCAGTTCGAATTATGTTTTCTTAAAGAGTAGAAAATGTTTCCTGTCACCCAAGTTAGGAAATAAAATGAGATTTTTTTTTTTTTTTTTTTTACTAAGAGATTTGAAATTGCCTAGACTGAGCCTTTTCTAATGATGATGTCCTTTTCCTTTTCACTGTGCCAAACTCTTACCCTGACACCATCTCTGCTCTGGCCTCTAAGTAACAATTATCTTGAATTTGAGCTTTTCTCATTCCCGTATATTCTGGTGTAGTTTTAGAATATATGTAACAGTAATATTCTAGGGCTACATATGTATGTACATAGGTGTCCAAAAATGGTCTGGAAAACTGGTTACCAAGCTCACTGTGATTACCTCTGGGAATGGAAAGGCAGGAACAAGATGAGTTAATTGTCAAAGTAAATGTGCAATAGTTTATATTTAAAGAGAGAAAATATATAGGATAAAGTGATGGTCTCTTCTTCATTGAAATGTTTTCATACTGTGATATTACTTTCTCTGATCTTGTATACATAGTTCTTCAAATTTATTCTTTGTTTTCAATACTATTTTGACCACTTTAGACATTTTTGTGTTTTTGTATGATTTTCAGAATTACTGTAAATAGCCTATTGCAACATATCCATTTGTTAAGGTCTAATTTAACCTCTCTAAACAGTGTTTTATAGTTTTCAGTATACCATTGTTCAGTTTTTATCAAATTTACATGGGTTTCATTCTTTTTGTACTGTGATAAATTGCATATTTAAAAATGTTAATTTGCAATTGTTTATTGACAATATATAGAAATATATTTGATTTTATTATATTTTGTTTGGGCATTTGCTCAATTCATTTGCTCTAGTACCATTTTACAGATTCTGTAAAATTTTCTGCATAGGCAGTTATGCCTTCTGGGAATATAGATAGTTTACTACTTCCTTCTAATCTGGATTTCTTTAGTTTCTTTTCCCTTATTATACTGACTAGAATTGTCAGTGTAATGTAGAAGTGCGAGAATGGGCATCCTTCCCTTGCTTGTGACCTTAGAGAGGAAGCGTTTAGTCTTTTACCATTGGTATGATGGTTGCTGTAGGTTTGACAAGATGTTTTTCATCATATTGAAAAAGTTTCTTTCTCTAGTGTGCTGAGAATTTTTTTTTTTTTTAAATATGGAACGCTTCACGAATTTGTGTGTCATCCTTGCGCAGGGGCCATGCTAATCTTCTCTGTATCGTTCCAATTTTAGTATATGTGCTGCCGAAGCGAGCACTGTGCTGAGAATTTTTAATAGGAATGGCTCTTATACTTTTTCAAATGCTTTCCTGCCATCTATGGAGACATTACTATATTATTTATATTTATATTGTAATTAACTGATTAAATTATTTAGTCAGTTAATATAGTAATTAGCTGTTTTTTTGTTAAATAATTGCATTCCTGAGATAAAGTATTCTTAGTTGTAATTTATTACACTTTTTTTGTGTTTTTTTTAATTTAAATATTTTATTTTATATAATTCTTACATCTTTTTTCATCTTTGCACAATGTATGCATTTTCATTTTGGCTATTTTCCCCATACAATTGCACCTCCCCCCTTATTTTGACTCTAGTCCTTCCTTTCCTTACCCCTCCCTCCCCCACCTACTGTGTCTCTGGTTTATAGTTGCTTGTTGATTTTGATTTTTACTTTGTATTTATATATTGTTGATCCAATTTGCTACTATTTTGTAAAGAATAGTTACATCTATGTTTTCTTTTTAAAATTTTTTTTTAAAGTTTATTTATTTATTTATGCATACAAGAGCTAGGGACAGGCCAGAGGTGTGGGGGCGGTGAGAGGATTCACCAGAGCCAGAGCGGGGAACAGAATAGGCAGACTGACGAGGTATACTGCTGAGGGGAGCAGTGGGCGGCAGGAGAGGTCTGCGCAGCATGTGGGACCCTCGCCCGGCAGCCCTGAATCGAGCCTGCCCTGCAGAGGCTGCGGGCAGCTTCGCAGCCCAGTGCTCAACCACTGTGCCACCAGAGGAAGCCCTGTTTTCTTTTTTTAAACGAACCTCTTAATGCAATTTTGTAAGTAAATGGGTGCATCTCTGTTTATGAGAGATATTAGTCTACAGTTTTCTTGAAATGTCTGGTTTGGGTTCATTTTGCTTTTGGATATATGGAGATATATATATTTCATCAAGTTTAAAAATTTTAGGCTATTATTTCTTCAGATATTTTTTCTGATGTCCCTTTTTCCCTCCAGGAGTCCAATTATACACATATTTGACTTCTTGTAATAGTATTGCATATCATTTCCCTTTCAATTTATTTTTATCAGTTTTTTTATCAATTTATTTTTATTTCGAATAATTTTCATTACTATTTCAAGTTCATTGTTTTTTCTGCAATATTTAATTACTAGTTAATGCCATCCAGTTCATTTTTTCTTATCTGACAATTTTTTAACTGCAGAAGCTTGATTTGTATGGAAAAAAAATGTCTTCCTTGTACTACTTAAGATGTTTAATCTTTTATGTAACTTCTTTAACATATGGGTAGAGTTATAATAACTTTTAATATCTGTGCTTACTAATTCTTTTTTGTCATTTCTACATTGCTTTCAATTGAAAACATTTCTCAGAATAGGCTGGAGTTTTTTTACTTCTTTATATTATAGGTACTTATTTTTATTGGAATTGAGATATTGTGAATTTTATTCACAATGCTGGATATTTTTGTATTTTAAGAAATATTCTTGAGTTTCATTCTAGGATGTGGTTATTCTAGTTACTTAGAGTTCAGTCTTCTGAGTCTTGCTTTGTACTTTGTACATGCCAATAGAGAAGTATTTTAGTCTTGAGCTAGTTTTTGCTTTGCTCTTGGCACGCAATCCTTTTGAGTACAATAATAGATGCACCTAGAGTGAGTGTTTTCACTTTGACTGGTAGGACCAGGAACTGTTTTTGGCTCTGTGTGAACTGGGGTTTGTTTCTTCTAAAACTTTTGTGTTATTTTTTTTCCCCAGCTTTTAGGTGATTTCTTCTTCCACATTCACAGATACCTACTCAGCTTAAGACTAAAAGGGTACTCTGCATGTTTCTGGAGTCCTTTCTTATATAATTCTTTCCTCTTTGGTACTCTGCTCTGTGTTTTCTGTCCACTTTGACTTTTCTAGATACCCCTCACTATCTTTTCAACTCAATGAGATTGCTGGGCTAAATCCTGCCTTCCTGTGCCGTGGCCTACAAACTCTCCAGGCAGTAAGCTGAGCTAGTCATAGGGTTTACCTGTTTTCCTTCCTATTAAAGACCACTATCCTAAGCATTACCTGCTGTCCAGTGTCTAAAAACTGTTGTTTCCTATATTTGGTCTGTTTTTTTCCCCCCCATTAGTTTTGGCAATAGGGTAAATTTGTTCTGTTATTCTGTCTTGTCCAGAAGCAGAAGTCTTTCAAGTGCCTAGACTTTTACTGTATACCAAATTCCCTGGCTGTTCTCTGGCAACATAACCATTTTTGCCATGTTTTTACTTTGAGCTTATTTATATACATTTCTAATACATCTTGTTATCTGATTTGTATAATGATGATATCTAACATTTAACACAATTTGTAAATTGTGACCAGTCTTATATTATGAGGTTGGCATGAATTAACTGATTGAAAACTATACAATGAACATGACAGTAACATACATTTTGTAGATAAAGAAACTGAGTCTCATACTTGACCACTGTTATGCTATTAGAAGATTTTGGAGTACCTTGATAATACATTAGAAATGGCAGATTAGAAGACTATTAGTAATATTTTTTCATTATAATGAGAAGTTAAATTTTTATTTATTCAGTCACTTCATTCACTGAGAAAATATTTATTCTTTACTTCCTGCATGCCGGATATAGAGGTAGAAAATTTATTAAAAGCAGATTGAAGACTGAGAAAACATGTTTGTCTGATCTTGTCTATTGAAGAGGCAGACCGCTGTATGGGCACAGTAAGGCATTATGTATGCTGATTGTTTTCTAAGAAATCTTTAAACAAAAGTTCATTTATCTATATGCCTCACTGGGGGTGTTTTGATTCAGCTATAATTAAATTTATTAGAATTTTATAAATTCTTACTTCTTTTTTAGAAAAGCCTTTGGCAGAACCCTATGCAAAAATGTGCTCTGTTAGCTGAAAAAATTCTGTATTTTAAGTTTTAGGTTATAGTCATCATGATATGTTGTATTGTTTAAGTACCGGTGTTTGGTCAGACTCATAGAGCATTTGATATCTTCATAAACTGGTGGGACAACAATCATAAACTGTGTCACATTTCCCCAAGTTTATGTATAAAAGTGTAACTTAATCTTTTTTTTCCCATTATGATAGGGTACAACTTTGATCAGCATTAACAGCTAGAACAAGGGTTAGCAAAATATGGCCTGTGAGCCAAATGTGGTCTGTTGCAGGCTTTTGTAAATAAAGTTTTATTGGAACATAGCCATACTCATTTGAGTTCTTATTGTCTTGGCTGCTTGTGCACTGGGAAGGCCACATTGAATTGTTGCAATAGACATTCTGGCCACAAAGCCTAAACTATTTACTGTCTGGTCTTTTACACAAAAAAATTTGCTGACTCCTAATATGGACGTTATAATTTTTGGAAAATTATGTTTTTTTCTTTTTGATGACATAGGAAAAACTAGACAAGCATTTTTTCGTGTTTAGTATGAATGAGGTGCTCTGGACCTTTTGAATTTTTGACAGGCAAATTTAATTTTTGGTATCTTATTTATTTTAAGATGCTACTTAATCTATTCTATTTAATAAATTCATTATATTCATACTACATTTGTTGTGTGAATGTGAAAAGAAAATTTAAAACTTGTTAATTAATCATATGGTATAACCTCATTCTCGTTAAAACCAAACTGTTCAAAAAACAAAATAACAAGAAATAGCAAAAGTTTTAAAATACAATCATGGAAATCTGAACATTGATTGACATATTTTGATTCTTTGAGTTTTTGTTCTTGGAATGATTAGAAGAACAGAGAAAACATAGGGAGCAGAAAACTAATTAGTGGGCTCAAGGTCAAAAAATCCATTGCTAGTTGGCTGAGATCTTTAAGAAGCTGGCTATGGAAGGAAATGAAGTGATTGAATAGATGAAGTTACTACTTACTAATACTGTATTAAGTAATAGCAGGGTTAATTATCCTGCAAACTATTTGAAATCTTTGAAAATGAGTCTCTTACAGTTTTTAACTGTATCCTTTTATTCATGTTGTTATGTTGAAACTTAAGAATATAAAAAATGCTTTTGGCATACCAGTGTACTTTACTTACCTTAATAAAAATGATTATGAGGCTTATGCATATATTTTTGTTGCATCAAAGGTTAAACCTGTAAGCACATCTCATGGTGTTTGGGTATCTCTCAATGTACCCAATCATTTTGGGTAGATCTAGGTGTTATGCTAGGCAAGAATACCAAATGTGACATTCACTTAAACTTCTACTCTTATCCTGATTAAATAGATCTTGTTGTAACATAACCTGTGAACTATGTTGATCCAAGATAAATCTTAATATTTTTCCAATGAGAAATCAACTGTTTTCATAAACTATTTTTGTTGAATTTTGCCACATTTTATTTGTACTGTGAATGAAGCTGTAACATTTCCAGTGGTAAAATTTCTAACTTGGGAAAAGTTTAAAGACATTTTTGGCCTATGGCCAGATTATTTTGTTATAAATCTAGAGTTATATCTACATGCAAATTTTTTTCAGTTGCTTACACTACTTTTTTGAATGTGTAGGAAAAGATGACATGAATTTTTAAAAGAATAATTTTTCTGTTAGCTTTTTAGTTGGAGAAGGAGCCTACAGATGGGCAGTAGATCATGGAATACCCTCCTGCCCGCCTAACATCATGACCACAAGTGAGTAAAATTAAGCTATATTAGTGTATATGCCTGATAATGTTCTACTACTTCTGATTCATATGGTTCCCCTATTTCAGAATGTATGTTGAAATACTGATATTTAGAAGATACATAGAGTTATTTGATTTTGAGCCACCTTTAATTCCCAAGGCCCTCAATTCGATTTCATGCTTTTATGGAAGTATTGCTAAAGGATCTCTTTTAGGTTACTTAAAATAACTATTGCTAATAAAACCATAATATCTCTCCCTCAAAGAGAGAGAAGAAAACATAGGTCAGCATTTATCTATGCTTGAACTGAGTAAGGTCCTTGAACTGATTAATTGCCAGAGAAGGAAAATACAGAAGTGTTGACTACCTAAGAGTTAAGTCTGAAGAAAAGTTTTTGTAAATATGACAAAGGATATATTCCTTTAGTATATGAAGAGGTTCATTAAATTAAAAACCATACAAATATCTAATATTCTTATAGAAAAATGGTCAAAGGTCATAAATAAAAAATATAATAGGTAAATTAAGATTGAAATGAATACATATCAAATTTATTCTCTTTCAATGTAATTGTGAAACAGTTATTATATTACTGCAGATAGTGTATGGTGAAATGAGATAATATAGTTTAGGTGTAAAAGTAAATTGGCAGAAATTTTTGAGGATGACTAAATAGTAAAACTCAAAAGCCTTAAACTTACTGTGTTTCTAGAAATTTGTCATTAGATAGAGACCTGTATTTATGTAGAAGTACACTCAGTGAGCATTATTTGCATGAAATATTTGAAAAGCTTATGTCCAACATGGGATTGTGAATAAATAACCATATATTCTTGTAAGACTAATGTCCGATAATGATCAAATATTTGTTAAGTGAATGGATGAATAAACAGATGAAGAGTTAAAAAACAAACAAAAAAACACATATGTGGGGCCTCCCTGGTGGCCCAGGGGTTAAGTCTCAGCCTATCACTGCTATGACCTGAGTTTGATCCTTGGCTAGGGAGCTAACCCACATATGGTGCAGCAGACCTCTCCTGTCTTGCCTGCTGCTCTCCTTAGCAGTGTACTTTAGTTAGTCTGCCTGTTCTGCTCCCCATTCTGTCTCTGGTGAATCCTCTCACAACCCGCCACCTCTGGCCTTTACCCCAGTTCTTGTCTGCATAAATAAATACATCTTTAAAAAAATAAAATTCTCTTAATTAATTTAGAAAATGATATGATATCTCTGTTACATTTTGATTAATTTATGCCAGTTTGGGGGATAATTGAAACCTTAATAATATTGACTCTTACCAACTGGAATAGGTTTATTCATTACTATTTTTTGTTCTTCAGTATGATTTTATAAATTTTTGTAATGTCTTTTATGTTGATTTCCCACATAATGCTGAATTTATTATCAAATAGGTAGACATTTGTGTTGCTTTCAGGTTGGAATTATAACAAACAGTTACTACTTGGATTGTAGTAGAATTGCTGCATGATAGTGTCTGTGATTTCTCATCTGTACCAAATGTTTTTTAGGATGGGTTTCACCAATTAATTGTGTTTTATACATACACATGTATGTTCTCCCACATGTATGTATGTATCTATCTTGATAAACCCCTATATTCATCTTTATAATTTATTTGTAGATTCTTGTTGATTCTCTATGAATTCATATTCATATAATTTGTGAATATTACAGTTTTGGCTACTTCCTTTTAATCTTTGTACTTTTCCCCTTCCTTTTTCACACTGGCAAATGCTTATCAGTATAAAGGAGTTGAATAAAAGTGATGTAGTAGACATTCATTTTAAGTATGATGCTTTTGATTGAAACTTATAGTCTTACTTCTTTATATTTATGCAGTTTGGTAGTTTCCATGGATTTTCAGTAGTACAGGTATTTCTTGATGGTGCTTAATTTGCTCTTTCTTGTTTATCTGAAACTATTTTTATTTCACCTTCATTTTTGAAGGCTATTTTCACTGGTTATAGTGTTTTGCGTCAGCAGATATTTCCTTTCAGCACATTGAAGATAATCAGTCTATGTAATTGAGCTTCCATTGCTGCTGTTGAAAAGACTGCTATCAACTATTTACAACAGCTAAACTATGGAAACAACCCAAATGCCCAAAAATAGATGACGGGATCAAGAAGATGTGGTACATATACACAATGGAATATTACTCAGCAATCAAAAAGATAAACTCATGCAATTTGTAGCAACATGGATGGAGCTGGAAGGAATCATCCTCAGCAAAATAAGCCAGAAAGAAAAAGAAAAATACCAGATGGTCTCACTCATAGCAGGAATTTAGAAAACCTAAATAAGGGACCAGGAAAAAGACTAATTAATACAAAGTAAAAATCAAAATCAACAAGCAACTATAAACCAGAGACATACTACAGGGAGGGGAAGAAGGAGCAGGATCAAAACAAGGGGGGGTTGGAATTGTATGGGGATTATAACCAAGATGAAAATGCATACATTGTGCAAAAATGAAAAATTATGTAAAAATATAAAAAATTTAAAAAAAGTATTAAAAAATGAAAACACTGCTATAATTTTTACTACCACTTACTTGGAAGGTAACCTATCTTTTTTCTTTCTGTTTTTAGATTTCCTATGTTCTTGTTTTCTTTAATTTGTTGTGTCTTTTTTGATATTTACGATTTTAATTTAATTTATGGATGTATTTTGGAGTCATTAAACCTGTGGATAGCGGCTTTTGTCATTTTGGAAAATTCCTTATCCAGTTTTTAAAATTTTTACTCTTACTTCATTCTTTTATCCTTCATCTTCAGAATTTCTGATTGAACACATGTTAGACCTTCTCATATTATCTTTCCTGTTTCTTAACCTTTCTTCTGGGTTTTGCATCATTTCATTTCTTTCAGCTGCTTTCTTGTTAACTCTAATCAGTTTTCCAATTCACTAACATTTCAACAGAATAAAATATAGGGACTGTAAGCCCTGGACTCTCTCCAATCTCTATTTTTTTTGGATTTTTATCACATATGTATGATTAATCATTAACTCAATTGCCAGTCCCTCTCTCCACAGAATGGGGATAGAACTAAGTGTTTCAATTTTCTAATCGTGTCTTAATTTTTCTGGTGACCAGTCCCCAACTTGACTCTAAAAGAACCCACTGAAAGTCACCTCATTAGAACAAAAGACACTTCCTTCATCCAGGAAATTACAAGGGATTTAGGAGCTGTGTATCAAGAATTGAGGTTAAAACCAAAAATTAGAAAAGAAGGTATTCCTCTTGTTCTTATTCATTCAGGAAATTACAAGGGTTTTAAGAGCCCTATGCCAGGAACCAGTAGGACCAATATTTGTGTTTTCTATTCTATTTACTATTAATCAGAAACTACCTTATGCTTAATTCAAAGCTTAACAGTCTAGGACCTGCCCAGGCCACATGTTTGCAAATCTATAAGGGCCCCAATCAACCCAAAATTTCTCAGGGTTAGTGTTTTTTCTTGTTTCAGTTTCTATTTCTCCCACATCCCTACTCTCCCTTCTTCTTCCTTTTTCTTGATCTTGTTCTTTTTATCTTTTTTCTATTCTTCTGTAATCTAAGACAATCTTGCCTGAATATAGTTGTATTGAGATAGACAGCAGAAGTATATTTGCTTATTTCTAGATCAGCCTTAATGTGAATCTTTTTCAATCCCCAACTTATGGAAATTATCTCCTTTTACCTTTAATGGGCTATGGTCCTGATATATACCACTCCTTGATGCCACCTAATCAAATTCAGCTGTTATTAGTGTTGGCAAAGTGCAATAATAACTTTAGTTCTCAGTTTAGGACTTTATGTATACTTTATGTATAGGACTTTATGTATACTTTTAGGAAGACTTAATGCTATTAGTATGGTCATTTTCCTATTTCATTCAACATTTTTAGTAATATTCAATGGGAGAATTATTCTGAGTACTTTATAATGATATTATTTCAAAAAAAAAGAAGGGAATGGAGGCATCAAACTGGTACTATCTTAAGTATTATAATCTGTTATTTCCCCTATCAACTGAATCTAGTTGCTTAAATCTGTATATCAAATTCTAAACTTTTCATTATTACATATATTTTTTATTTTAGAAGCGCTATTTGGTTCTTCAGGTCAGCCTGGTCATTATATCATCCTTTGATCCTTAGTTATAATTTCAATACCTTTTATTTCTGTGAGCATAAACATGGTTTATATTATGGGTCTGATTATTCTAGTATTTGAGGTCTTTGCAGAGTGTATTATACATTCTGATATTTGGCTGACTTTAATTTTTTATTCTTGGTGGTTTACTTCTCATGTATTTTATGATTTTTTTTTTAAACTATGGACTCATGTTAATTGGAATATGGGAATACTTTGAACTCTGGGTAAGCTCAGCTGTGTTTTTCTAGGGAGTATTTGCATTTGCATTTAATGGGTTTTTGAAGTGCTGTAACACCAAGATAACTTTTTGTTTTTTTTAAAAGGCAACTCAAATTCTCTTCTACACCTGTCTGTATGCCCTTCTTTTTCATGAATTTTCTAGAGAAAGTTTTCTTACATTTTTAGCTGAAGCTGAGACTTGCAAATTTCCTGCCTCTTTGTATAGAGTAACCTTTTCTAATTTTCCTTTTTACAGTGCATATCATCCTCTGGGTTCCCTCCTTTTTATGTGGATAAACTCTGCTATAGTTTTTTATGTTGCATTGTTCTAGGTTTGAACTTTTGTCCCTATGCAATGTATCTTTCAAACCAGAGTTGCCAGTGGCATGCATTAGTAGATACCCTGGGTAGCATCAATTTTCATTATTCACTTGTCTTTCTAGATTTGGCTTTTTACTTAAAATTTTAAACCCTAACTTATATCTCTTATTTTCATACTACTTCTACTTCAGTGTACATTGAAAAGTCTTTTTTTATACCTTTTACAACATCTTAAGGATTTTGTCTAAAGAAAGCTTTTCAGGATATCTTGTCTGCCTCGTTACCCTAATATTTTTCAAATGTTATTTTTAATGTTTCTTTTATAGGATTCAGTTTAGCTGCATTTAAAAGAAACAAGAGGAAACTAGAACTGGCAGAAAGGGTGGAAACAGATTTCATTCAACTAAAGAAACGAAGACAATCAAGTGAAAAGGTCAGGAGTTGTTTGAAATATTATTGATTAATGTATCTTTAATCTGCATTTAGATATGTAAGCTTTAGTACTACCCAGTAGAAATATAATACATGCCACATATGTGTTTTTAATTTTTGCAGTAGTTACATTTTAAAAAGTAAAAAGAAACAGGTAAAATTAATTTTAATAATAATTTTATTCATATGAGTGAGGTAAAATTAATTTTAATAACAATTTTATTCATATGAGTGAATCCAAAATATTGCTTTGAAGAGATAATCAATGAAAAAATTATTAGTACTGTTTTACTTTCTTTTGTTTTGATATTAAATCTTCAAAACACTGCATATTTTAAACTTAATACACATATCAAATATGACGCTAAATTTTCATTGGAAATATTTGATTTGCGTTTATAATTAGATTTATAAAACAAGTTACTCCACTCATATTTACAACTTTCCAATAATTGAATTGAATATGTTTTAAAATTAATTATTAATTAATAAGCATTTAATAAAACTGAAAATTTATTTTCTCATTTGCCCTTGTCATAGTTTGTCCATAGCTACATTTGGCACATCATCTTTGCAGTATTAGGTAGTGATTCTTGTCTGTTCAAGAAGTAATGTTGTTATAAGAAAATGCATATATTGGATTCCTGTAGGTTTTTTATACATTCTAATTATATGAGTTAGGAGCAGGAACAAGAACAAAGGAGAAAGAACAGTCAGTGACACAGGGTACCATTAGCAGAGAGTCTAAGAAGTTGAGAGGGACATTTGAAAGTCAGTCATCCCCTCAGACAGATGCCCTTGAAAAAACCAGTAAGAAGAAAGAGGACAGTCACTGGATTTAGCAACTGGAGATAGAATGAACCTGAATAGGGATGGTCTCTCTGATATGGTGGACTATAGACCAATATGGAGTGAGTTAATCAGGGAGAATAAGATAAGGGTGGAGATAACTCTTGAGAAGTTTTCTATAAAGTGGAGAGAGAGAGAGAGAGAGAGAGAGAGAGAGAGAGAGAAAGAGAGAAAGAAATAGGGGCTCAGGAGATTGGACCATCTCAGTTAAAGTCTTTGAATTTAGTTAGTAATATATTTTATTTTATTTTATTTATTTTATTTTATTTTTTTAATGATATTCTTTTTTTTTTTTTAAGATTTATTTATTTATTTAAACAAGCACTGGGTACAGTCAGAAGCGTGGGAGGGTGAGAGAATTCACCAGAGCCAGAGCGGGGAGCAGAGCAGGCAGAAGGACTGAAGGACACTGCTGAGGGGAGCAGTGGGCGGCAGGAGAGGTCTGCGCGCCATGTGGGACCCTCCTCCGGTGGCCGGGGAGCAGCCGGGGATCGAACCGGCGCTGCAGAGGCTGCGGCCAACTTCGCAACCCTGCACTCAACCGCTGCGCCACTGGGGAGGCCCTAGTAATATATTTTATTCAAAATTTCTTAGATCGTATTTATGTAATAGACTCAGATTAACCAGTGCTTCTCATTTCACCACAAAACATATTGCCTAATTGCTGCAGGAGGCCTTGTTGCTCCAGCCAGATAGGATACTGACAAGCAGCAAAAAGAAAAGGCCTCACACCGGGGGGCTGAAGATCTGGCATCCCTTTGCTTTTTGTTCTTGGTCATAGAGAGAAAAAAATTTATCAAAAAGGTACATTGGGCTAAAAATTATATGTATCAGCGGACTGCAAGCAATTGGCACAGAAAATTACCTGTTTAGAAATTAGTTACTACACAATTCGGCCCAATTAACAATGGGAGACAATTTATTGTATATATCTGACAAGCAATCCAGCATAACAATTATAGTATATCCTTGTTTTGATTTTTAGAAGTTTCCTTTTTATTTAGAAGTTTCTTAGGAAAGTTTTTAAATGAAGTTAACTGTGTTAAGAAGTTTGTAGGTAGAAAAAGTTCTGATAACTAAGCAGCAGCTGGTCTCCGGCTGAAGGTCATGTGAATAGAATAGTCCTTTGATGCTTAGGCTTTAGCTGATAGGGATGCACTGGCGGTTATTCACTGTTTTAATAATTGTCTAAATGAAAAAATAAGTAGCTTTAATGTTAGGTCTGGTTTATTATCTGTTAACCTTGAAAGCTGCCATCTAGCTGAGACCTGTAGGGGCCAGTAGTCTATGGGAAACATAATATACTAATTGTTTATGCTTTACACATGATAATGTATTTTGTTATTATTATTACTAATAATGAATAAATAAAGACCTGCTGAGTCTTTCGGCAGAAGATACTAACACCTCACCAAGTGTCGGTGTCTCCTCATTCCCTTCCCCTCAGCCCTTAAGTTCTCAGTTCTTTCGTTTTCTCCTAGGCCGTCTCATCCTTTCAGGAACCCCTGACAAGACGTTTTGTCGGAGGCTGGTCCCCGGCACCTAATGTTAACAGCACCCTAAACACCCAGAGCTAATTAGAACATCTTTTAATTTAATGCCACCAGCAACCTCACTGTGGTTCTTGTTTTTATCATTGTAATTACATAATTTATTAAGTCTCATGTAAATTGATGATACTTATTTTTTCCTTATTTTTGAATGAAATAGTCATGTTCTGCTCTCATAGAGTTGTTGGAGGAACAAAAGTAGTAGTGGATGTTCAAGGTCTTTGTAGCTGTGATAGACTTTGATATCATAGTTTTTGCCATTGTGGCTTTCCCTTTAAAGGTACCTAAAGAAAAAAAAATTGCCCCCCAATTTAGCTACCTGTATGGAATCTTGTAATGAAGAAAGGGAGGCAGGTAGTAGTGAGGGGAGAGATTAAATTCAGATATTCAAATGAAGTATTTTTGACATCTTTTGACAGGAAAATATTTTTATTTCATTTTTTTCCATTTTATCTATTTTTATTAAATTAATTTTTATTGAATTAATTTTTAAATAAAGTACCATTATTTTACATCTATATCCTTGTTAATATTTTGACAGTATAAGATTTCTCCCCTCAGGTGTTGTCACTGTAGCTCTCCCCTATCAAAGCACCTATAGTCCTTTCCCATAATCCATTCTACTCTCCTCCTTCCTCTGTTCTAGCCTCTTCCCCTTTTTCTTCCTCTCTCTTCCCCTCCTGGATGCCTCATATCTATAGTCGGCTTTCAAGGTTGGTTTTAAAGTTTGTCTTTGACTCTTTGTCTGGTTTCTCTATGTTCCATATAATAAGTTACACCATCTGGTATTTATCTTTCTCTTGGTTAGTTCACTTAGCATAATCCTTTCCAGTTCTGTCCATGTTGCCTCAAATAGCATGAGTTTATTTTTTTTTCTTTAAATTTTTATTTATTTTTTAAAGATTTATTATTTATTTATGCATACAAGAACCAGGGTACAGGCCAGATGTGAGGGAAGATGAGGGATTCACCAGAGACAGAGTGGGGAACAGAACTGGCAGACTGACTGAAATACACTGCTGAGGGGAGCAGTGGGTGAGCCAGGAGAGGTCTGCCGCGCCATGGGGGTATCTTCCCGGCTGGCCGGGAATCGAACCTTTGCTGCAGAGGCTGCGGACAGCTTCACAGTGCTGCACTCAACTGCCTGCGTCACCAGGGAGACCCGAGTTTATCTTTTTGATGGCTGAGTAGTATTCCATTGTATATATACACCACATTTCTTGATCTACTCCTCTGTTTTGGGGCATTTAGGTTGTTTCCATGCCTTGGCTATTGCAAATAATGCTGCATTAAATACAGGAATGCATGGTTTGTTTTGCGTTAGTGTTTTTGTGTTCTTTGGGTACATATTAGGATGGAATTGCATGGTCATTCAGCAGATCTTTTTAGTCTTTTGACTAAACTGCATCAGTCTACATTCTGACCAACAGTAGTAGGGTTCCTTTTTTTCCCTACCCTCACCAGCATTTATTTCTCTGTGTGTGTGTGTTTAATATGAGCCATTTTCACTAATGTGAGGTGGTTTCTCATTGTAGTTTTGATTTGCATTTCCCTGATCATAAATGATGAACATTTTTTTCATGTACCTGTAAGCCATCTATTTGTTTAGCTTGATTGCCCATATTTTGATTGAATTGTTTCTTTCTGTTGTGCTGTATGAGCTCTTTGTAAATTTTTGATATCATTCCCTTGTCAGATGTATGGTGTGCAAATAGTATTTGGAGAATATTCTTAATATTCAGAATATATAAACATTACTGTGTGTAAAGGACTGTGTTAACATTGGCTGACAAAAAATGACTGGGACAGGGTGCCTACTTGTAGGGGAGGATTCTGGCCAGAGGCTTTACTGTATAACCTTGGTAGGCCTTGTCTCTAATAGTAAAGAAAATAAAACATGTTTTCAGAAAGAAAAGCTGGACTAGGTGTCAGTTGATGGGGCAGAAAATTTTAATTTTTAAGATTAAATATAGTAAGTTTTTAAGATGTGATAGGAAATGACAAATGACTGTTTTCTAAATTAACTTATATTTAGTTCATCTCTTCCTGTTCTGTGTGTATAGTTTCAGCATAGTTTTGGTTAGCCAGCATTGATTATACTACTATTTGCTGTGGCTATATAAAAAATACTGTTTGAGTTAGGTATGTAAATATAATAAAAAGAATAGCAGGTTTGGTAACTTCCCTAATGTTCACATTTTTTGTTACTCAGAGTCGAAGGATAATAAATACTGTTTTGAAAGGAATATAGTCAGTATTTTAAAGCTTTAAAAAAGTGATTGTATAGACATTATCAAAATCCTAATAGAAATCAAAATTAAGAAAACAAAAATATTTACTTAGCTTATTACCTCAACAAATTAGAATGTTTTGTGTCCTTTAGACTTTGACTATTTACATTTATATTCATTTAGTTTAAAATGATAATGGTTAATCCATGGAGTGCTTCCGGCTGCAAGCATAGAAGATGTCACTTTGGTTTAGGAAACATATATATATATATTTTTTTAATAAATTTTATTTTTATATTCCCCATACAATTGCAACCCCCTTATATTGACCCCAATCCCTCCCCTCCCCGCCCCCCACTCCCCATAGAGTG